TCCAGTTTGTTAAAATTTTGTTGAGGATTTTAGCATCTATGTTCATCAGGGACATTGGCCTGTAATTCTCTTTCTTTGTAGTGTCTTTATCTGGTTTTGGGATTAGGGTAATGCTGGCTTCGTAGAAAGAGCTTGGAATTGTGCCTTCCTCTTGAATTTTTTGGGATAGTCTGAGAGGGATAGGTTTTAGTTCTTCTTTGAATATTTGGTAAAACTCCCCTGGGAAGCCATCCAGTCCAGGGCTTTTGTTTCCTGGAAGCTTTTTGATTACTGTTTCAATTTCACAAGTCATTATCAGCTTATTCAGGTTTTTTTTTTATTCTTCCTGATTGAGTTTTTGAAGCTTGTATTTTTCTAGGAATATGGCCTTTTCATCGAAGTTGTCCAGTTTGTTGGAGTAGAGCTGTTCCTAGTGTTTTACAATCCTTTGTATGTCTGTAGAGTCAGTTGTTACTTCACTTCTTTCATTTCTGATTTTGTCTATTTCGGTCCTCTCTGTTTCTTGGTGAGCCTGGCTAGAGGTTCATCAATCTTGTTTATCCTTTCAAAGAACCAACTCTTGGTTGCATTTATCTTTTCTATTGTTTTTTGGCCTACAAGTCATTCATTTCTGCTCTGATCTTCATTATTTCCTTCCTTCTGGTTACCCTGGGGTTTTCTTGCTGCCCTCTTTAAATTGCAAGGTTAGATAATTTACCTTTTCTTTTTTTTTTTTTTTTTCTTTTTAGGTAGGCCTGCAGAGCTATGAACTTCCCTCTCAGGACTGCTTTCACTGTGTCCCATAGATTTTGGATTGTTGTGTTTTCATTGTAATTTGTTTCATTGTCATTTGTTTCCAGAATGCTTTTTATTTCTTCTTTGATCTGTTTGCTATTAAACCCAATCATTGTTTAATAGCATGCTATTTATCCTCCAAGTGTTTGATTTTTTTCATTGTTTATATTGTAATTTTATGCCATAGTGATCTGAGAAGATGCTTGGTATGATTTCTACCTTCTTGAATTTGAAGAGACCTTGCCTGTGTACTAACATGTGGACTATCTTTGAAAATGTCCCTTGTGTACTAGAGAAGAATGTATAATCTGTAGCTTTGGGGTGAAATGTTCTGAAGATGTCTATTAAGTCCATCTGATCTAGTGAGCCATTTAGGGTTGCTGTTTCTTTGTTTTTTTAAAATTTTTTAATTTTTTGCTTAGAGGATTTATCCAGTGGTGTCAATGGGGAATTTTAGTCCCCTACTATGATTGTATTGCTGTCAATCTCTCCCTTGATATCTTCCAGAAGTCTTTTTTCTGTACTTGGGTGCTCCTGTATTGGGTGCATATATATTTACAAGTTATTTCCTAGTGCTGAATTGTTCCCTTTAGTATTATGAAGTCGCCCTCCTTATCTCTTGTTGTGGCCTTTACTTTGAGGTCTATTTTGTCAGATATAAGTATTGCTATCCCAGCTTTTTTTCTCATTTCCATTTGCCTGAAATATTTTTTTCCACCCCTTCACTATCAGTCTGTGTAAATCCTTTATTTTGAGGTGGGTCTCTTGTAGACAGCAAATATATGGGTCACGTTTTCTTATCCATTCAGCTACCCTATGTCTTTTGATTGGAGCATTTAATTATTTACATTTAATGTTATTATTGATAGGTACTTGTTTGTCACCATTTTTATTCTTCATGCTTATATACCTTCTTGCCTTTCTATTTCTTCTTTTTATTGCAGCCACTTTAGCATTTCTTGCATTTCTGGCTTGGTAATAAACTCTCTTAGCCCTTTTTTTGGCTGAGAAGTTCCTGATACCACCTTCAATTTTGAATGATAGCCTTGCTGGGTATAGTATTCTTGGATTCAGTCCCTTGCTTTACATCACTGTATATTTCATTTCATTCCCTTCTGGCCTGATGTGTTTCTGTTGAGAAATCAGTTTTTATTCGAAATGGAAGAGCCCTTGTAGGTAACTTTCTGTCTCTCTGGCAGCCTTTAAGATTCTTACTTTGTCATTGATGTTTGCCAATTTAATTATGATGTGTCTTGGTGTCGGTCTTTTTTGGGTTCAACTTGTTGGGGACTCTATGTGCTTTTTGGACTTGTATGGTTTTTTTCTTCCCAATATCAGGGAAGTTTTCTGTCATTAATTTTTGAACAGGATTTCTATTCCTTGCTCTGCTTCCTCTCCCTCTGGTACCCCTATTATGCAGATGCTGTTTCATTTTGTGTTGTCCCAAAGCTCCCTTAGGCTCTCCTCCTGCTTTTTGTTTTCTTTCTAGTTGCTGCTGTTTTTGTGTGTTTTTTCCTACCTTGTCTTTTAATTCAGTGATGCAGTCCTCAGCCTTTTCTAGTCCACTGTTGAAGCCTTCCATTGTGTTCTTTATTGCAGGTAGGTCATTCATTATTTCCTCTTGGTTCCTTTTCATGTTAGGGACATTCTCATTCAGCTCCTTATAAGTCTCATTGAGTTGTGTGTATTTGTCATCTAGACATTTGAGCATGCTTATTAACCATTACCCTGAATTCTTTCTCTGACCTGTTACTTGCCTCCATTTCATTTAAGTCTCTTTCTGGTGATCTTCTTTTTCTTTCCTTTGGGGATTGTTTTTTTATCTCCCCATTTTTTGCTGTAACGTTTTCATTGTTTCTATGTCATAGATCCAACTGTTTTTCTACCCAGGTCCTTTTGGAGGTGGTGTGATGTAGTTGGTGGTTTGGGGGTTCCAGTGATGTGGTCTCTAAGGTCTTCTGGGCTTGGTGATCTAGTGGAGCCACCTACTTGAGCTATGTGGGTTCTCTTGATGTAGTTGGGTCTTGAATATTAGTTTCTTTTTTGTGGATAAAGCTAATTCATGGATTGGCAATGTGACTCACCCCGGCTTCATTGTGCAAGGTGTTGTAAATATGATCATGGTTCCAGCTCTTGTGGAAAACATTGCCTGATGTCTCACTAGTATGTGCTCACTGTGAGTTCCCAGTCCATGGCTTGGGAGGAAGGCATCTCAGGGCCTGAGGGTCAGGTACTCTGACTTTGGCCAGTGTTGTGTGACTTGCTGGGGTAGCATCACTCTGCAACTTACTATGAGGGCCCCAGAGCCCGTGACAGTGGGGGGCGGCTATCCCATTGTCTGCGGTTAAGGCAGTGTGACTCTGGCAAAGTGATTTCCCTCTCTCAGTTATGAGGGTGTTCAGGAGCCAGCAGCTGGGGATATAGGAATATGGGGAGTCTGTGGCTGAAACAATGTGACCTTGTCTGGGGAGGTGAGTCCTCAGTAACACACCAAGGTGTCCAGAGGAAGGCAGCTGGGAGGGGTGTCATGGATCCTGCTGAGGGAGCCGTATGCCCTTGGTTGGAGATGCACGTGCCCAGTGGCAGCTCACCGAGAGGCCCAGGAACTGTCTGCTGGGGCTATGTGCTTGCAGGGTCTACACACTGGAGTGGCATGTTCATGTGTGCTGCTGGCGCTGGGGAGGCAAAAGTCCCAGTTTCTGCTTCAGGAGATGTGCACCTTTGGTTAGCTATGCACTCCTACTCGTGGCTTACAGAGGCACCCTGGTGCTTTCTGCTGGGGCAGTGGGCTCAGGGGGCCCACGTGCTGGAGTGGAGAAACTGCGGGGACTGGATGCCGACAGCCAGGGTCACACCTTATAGCAGCTCAGAGAGGAACCCAAGAGCCACATTACTGGGGCAGCAAACTCAGGGAGCCTGTGCGCTGGCTCAGTGCGACTGCGGTGACTGGAGGTCGGCAGCTGACGAGGGGGAAGTTCAAGTTTCTGCTGCCGTGGCCTTGTTCCCTTGGTTGCATATGAGCACACCCAATGGCAGCTCACGGAGACACCTGGGAGCCGCCTGCCAGGGTGGCAGGCTCAGAGGGACCCACTTGCTGAAGCCACGCTATTGTGGTGTCTCTGGGCAGGCAGGTGGGGAGAGGGAAGTCCCAGTTTCTGTTGTCAGGGCTGTGTTTCCTTGTTTGGATATGAGCGCACCCAGCGGGGGCTCACAGAGGCACCCGGGAGCCAGGCAATGGGCTCAGGAGGCCTGTGCAGTGGAAACGCAACTTTGGTGTCTGGAGGTCAGCAGCCTGGGAGGGAGAATTCACACTTACTGCTGCGGGATCCGTGAACCCTTGGAGATGGACTTCCTAGGGTCAGAAGGTCTGCAGGTCTGTGGGTGGGGAAGGAGGACTTTGGCTGGTGTGGCTGCAGGGTCATGGGAAGTGTCCAAAGCCAGTCTAGATGGTTGTGCTGATGAGTTCCTAGAGGAGGCCACTCTCCCCTTCAAGATGGTCTGGGCTCCATGCCTGAGCCCCGCAGGCTGGAGAGTGCCTGCAGCAGTGGTAGGGGCTCCCTGCCCAGGAGAGCCTGGTCTGCCAGCCTCTGATACTCCTGCTAGATTTTCCTGTCCCTCACTCACTCACAGACACTACATACATCCACACACTCTCCTTTCACCGCCTCACTCATTCACACACACTACATACATCCACACTCCTTTCACCCCCTCACTCACTCACACCCATCCTGCCAGCCACCATCTTCTGTTCCCATTCTTTTTTGTCTTGCTTCTTTTCTTCAGTATACTTATTTGATATTCATCCATGTTGCTGTGTATATCAATAGTTCATTCCTTTTTACTACCTGTTAGTTTTCCATTCTGTGGCTATATCTCAGTTTATTCACCCAAACTTTTGATTTATAACTGAACCTACGTCAATGAACTGTGCCTTCCTATAGCATGGAAACCATGAAATATCTTGTCACTGGTAACATTGATCAAGTCACATTTCTGAAACCACAAATCAAAGGGCAGACCTGGGATGGATGGAGTCTCCCACTGAGGATGGAATGCTCCCTAGAAGGTCAGTTTCTCCAGCCTCTAGATACCATCTTCCAATCACAACACCATGGAATTGGGAATTTGTCATTTTCACTCTACAGCAGTGTCCTGATTAATACCGATTAAACTAAATGAAAGACTTATTTTTTTTCTCCCAAACCTCAACCCCTTTATTTCAGACTCCTAAGGGGAGCTGTAGGGCAGGAGTGAAGTTCGCCATCGATGTTGGGTACCGGCACATTGATGGGGCCTACATCTACCGGAATGAGCACGAAGTGGAGGAGGCCATCAGAGAGAAGATAGCAGAAGGAAGGGTGAAGAGAGAGGATATTTTCTACTGCGGAAAGGTGAGAGCTTCCCTTCCCCTCCATCCCCTCATATTAATGATGGACCTGATGTCACTTTTCTCTGCCCAAGAAAGTTGGACTCACGAAGAGGAGTGAATTTTCAACTGCGAAATTCCTTACTCTTGCCAAGATGTTAGGGACTAATAATCCCCTTGAAGTGGACATCGGGCAAAGCTTTCTTCATACATGGGCACGGATTTAAAATAATATGCAAAGAACCAAGTCTATAGAGCAAAAATTAGGGAAGTGGAGGGAAAGGAGGAGATGGTTCATATTACAGAAGCATTTGCTAAAGGTTTCTTTAAACCTTTATGCCTTCTTTTGTGCCAATTTGTTCATAGATAACTAACTCTTTTTTTTATTAAATCTTTATTGTTGAAAGAATGACATATGTCCCCCATTGAGCCCTTCTAGCCCACCTCCAACACCCACCCCAGGCCTTCACCATCCTATTGTCTGTGTCCATGGATTTAATATGTGTTTATGTGTGTGTGTGTGTGTGTGTGTGTGTGTGTGTATGTATAGACATAGATAGATAGATATATCTATACACACACACACACACACACACATGCATACAAGTTCTTTCATTTATCTCTTCCCACCCAGCCAACCTCCCTCGCTTTCCCTCTGTTATTCAACAGTCTGTTCAATGCTTCTATGTCTCTGGAACTATTTTGTTCATCAGTTTATTTTGTTCATTAAATTCCGCTTATGAGTGAGATCATGTGCTACTTGTCTTTCTCTGACTGGCTTATTTTTGCTTAGCATAATACGCTAAAGGTCCCTCCATGCTTTCTCAAAGAGTAAGGGATCTTTTTTTCTGGCACATAGTATCTATCTATATATATATAAGCCTAAGCAACCAACTGATCAACCAGTAACTATGATGCGCACTGACCACCAGGGGGCAGACACTCAAAGCGGGAGCTCCCACAGTGGGAGTCCTGCTCAGCTGATCGCCAGGTGCCAGACGCTGGGCTCATGGCTGGTAAGCGCCACTGTGATGGCACAAGCCTTTTCTGATCAGGAGTGACTGGGAGTGAGCCCATGGCAGGCAAAGCAGGGCCGGGAGGCAGGAGCAGAAGGTGGCGTTGGACTGCCAGTTTTGGCCTAATACCCACAGGCCATGCCGAAGGACCCCATTAGTGCACCAATCCGTGCACCAGGCCTCTAGTTCCATGATATAAATGTACCACAGCTTTTTTATCCACTCATGTACTAATGGACACTTGGGTTTTCCTGGCTTTAGCTTTTATAAATTGTGCTATGAACATAGGGGTGCATATATCCTTTCTGATTAGTGTTTCAGGTTTCTTAGGATATATTCCTAGAAGTGGGATCACTGGGTCAAGAGGCAGTTCCATATTTAATTTTTTGAGGAAACTCCATAATGTTTTCCATAATGGCTGCACCTGTCTGCATTCCCACTAGCAGTGTACTAGGGTTCCCTTTTCTCTACATCCTCGCCATCACTTGCTATTTGTTGATTTACTGATGGTAGCCATTCTAACAAGTGTGAGGTGATACCGCATTGTTGTTTTAATTTGGATCTCTCTGATGATGAGTGACTTTGAGCATTTTTCCATATGTCTCTTGGCTATGTGTGTATCCACCTTGGAAAGTGTCCATTTAGGTCCTTTGCACATTTTTTAATTGGATTGTTTTCTTCCTTTTGTTAAGTTGTATGACTTTCTTATATATTTTGGGGTTTTTTATGTTTTTAAATATATTTTTATTGATTTTCAGAAAGAAAGGGAGAGGGGGAGAGAGATAGAAACATCAATGATGAGAGAGAATCACTGATTGGCTGCCTCCTGCATGTCCCTTCCTGGGGATAAAGCATGAAACTTGGCATGTGCCCTTAACCCGAAACGAACCTGGGACCCTTCAGTCTGCAGGCCAACAATTTATACACTGAGCCAAATCAGGTAGGGCTCCTTATATATTTTGGGTATTAACCCTTTGTAAGATGTATCATTGCCAAATATTGTGGGCTCCCTTTTCACTTTATTGATGGTTTCTCATGCAGTGCAGAAGCTTCTTATTTTGAAGTAGTCCTATTTGTTTATTTTCTCCTTAGTTTCCTTTGCCCTAGGACCGTGATCGGCAAACTGCGGATCGCGAGCCACATGCAGCTCTTTGGCCCCTTGAGTGTGGCTCTTCCACAAAATACCATGTGCGGGCGTGCATGTACAGTGCGATTGAAACTTCGTGGCCCATGCACAGAAGTCAGTATTTTGTGGAAGAGCCACACTCAAGGGGCCAAAGAGCCACATGAGGCTCGCAAGCTGCAGTTTGCCCAGCCACAGTTTGCCAACCACTGCCTTAGGAGATGTATCAGTAAACATATTACTAGGAAAGATGTCTGAGATTTTGCTGCCTGCAATTTCTTCTAGGATTTTTAAGGTTTTACTAGAGGCCCGGTGAATGGATTCATGCAAATTGAAAGGAAAGTAATTAGAAGATGGCCAGTGTGGTGGGACTGGGCGAGATGGGCCAGACATGCCCTGGAGCCAACATTCCATGGTCCTTCCCCCGCCAGCCTCACCTGGGGCAGCGCCAAGGCTCAGAGGGCATCTGCTGAGTGAGCGGGGTTCCTCCAGTAGATGAGGTCCCTCAGCCTGGCCTGCAGGGATCTGGCCAAAACTGACAGTCCAACATCCCCCGAGAGCTCTCAGAGTATGGGAGGGGCACTCTGCCAAGTTGCTGTTGCTTGGCAGCTCCTGTGTTGAGTGTCTGCCCCCTGGTGGTCAGTGCGCATGATAGCTAACAGTCGGAGCACCTACCCCTGGTGTTCATTGTGTGTCATAGCTACCAGTCAGACATTCGAACAGTTGGACAGTCGCTTAGGCTTTTTATACATACTAGAGGCCCGGTGCACAAAAAATTGTGCACAGGGGAGGGGGGTATCCCTCAGCATGGCCTGTGCCCTCTTGCAGTCTGGGACCCCTCAGGGGATGACCACCTGCTGGTTGAGGCCCGCTCCCCGGGGTTTTGGGCCTGAGCTGGCAATCAGACATCCCTCTGGCAGCCCGGGAGCCCTTGAGGGATGTCCATTTGCCAGTGGTGAGCAGGCCTATACTGCAGTCGGACATCCTTAGCGCTGCTGAGGAGGCAGGAGAGGCTCCCAACACCAATGCTGCACTCCCCAGCCATGAGCCCATCTTCTGGCTGAGAGGCCCTTCCCCTGTGGGAGTGCACTGGCCACCAGGGGGCAGCTCCTGAATTGAGCGTCTGCCCCTTGGTGGTCAATGTGCGTCATAGCGACCCATCATTCCCTGTTTGGTTGATTTGCATATAATCCTTTTATTATATAGGATAGATGACTTATATTTACGTATTTTATCATAGAGCACTAATTCTTTATTGAGCTACAATTCACGTACCAAAAGTTTACCATTTTGAATAAGTAATTATTTGTATATTCACAAAAGTTGCATGACCATAACCACTACCTAATTTCAGAATATTTTCATCACTCTAAAAAAAAAATCCCATGCCCACTAGCAATCACTTCTATTTATCCCTTTCCCCATGTCAATTGTGATCATTATCTAATATCTGTCTCTATCATTTTCCTATTTTGGACATTTCATACAAATGGAATCATACAATATGGCCTTTTCGTCTAGCTTCTTTCATTTAGTATAATGTTTCTAGGTTTATCCAAGTTGTAACATGGATCAGAATATCATTTCTTTTCATGGCCAAATAGTATCCCATTGTATGGATAGACCACCTTTTGTTTAGATCACTACCTTGTGAGCAATTTAAACGTCCAGTGTTATATATCACTATCCATTGAAGAGCAATCAGAAAAATAAAGCATCACAATTAAACTGAAAGCCAATGGTAATAAAGAATGTATATTTACAGGCAGCTTTGCAGGAATAAAGCTGTAGAACTTTAAAGAACTTATAATACAATTCTCCTGAGGAACCTAAAGAAAAATGATACTGTTTCTGATTTCACCCTCTCCCCAGACCTCCCCTCCTTCCAGCTCCCTACTCAGTCTCTTTCCAATTTCTCCAGGGATTTTCAGCTCCCCAAATCACCAGCCACATATGGGCTATGATTCCGAGGGGCTGCATGGAGCCACTGTCCCAAAATATCAACCTGAAGCTTTTCACTTTATTATAGCTTTACAATTCTGATGCCTAAAGATTTTATTATTACAGTCTCACATCAGAGTAAAACCTTAAACCTTAAATAGGTGCTCTCCAAATGTTTCCACAGAGGATTAAACTTGAATTCATATTGTGAGGACCTATGCCAAAGCAACCTGTCCAAAGCCAGAAAGACTTTCGAAAACTGACTTATCTTAAAATTTTTTAAACTTTTACATTATCTGCATGATTTATCCTTGTTTGTTTCATGCAAGAATGAGGATTTTAATAAGCACAAAGAAAAATGAACCCCAAAATTTCCTTCGGGTAAATATTTAAACCTGTTGCAGTATCTATCATGTTGGAAAAATCACACTGAATTAAATAAACTATTTCATAATGTTAGCATGAATTAACATTTACAAAATACTTAAACAGTACCTATTATAAAGCTAGTAGTACATGGGTTTTTAAATTAAAATATAAAAAAACAGAATTTTCACTGACATGGGGTGGCAGCAATAACACCAAAGGGGCCCACAGTAACAACAAAGAACATTTTCCCACAATGCTCTCCACCTGAAGTTTTCTCTTGTCTTGCTTTCAAGGCTAAAAAAATAAAATGATTTCCTGACATAATAAATAAAAGATCAAGACCACATTTTACTAGTTTTGCTTGCCCTTACTTGTGACAAAAAGGATAGAACTTTTTTCCCACAGAAATCTTTCAGCAAATTTGATGCTTCAAAAAGATGTACTAATTTATCCTGAGATGCTTACTACCCCTCAACAACTTATGTGTACAGACTTTAAAGGTACACATGTTCCTACTTGACAATCCAAGCCTTATTCTTTCATTACCTAACTCTTTCGAGAATGAGTAATTTATTT